TTTAAATATAAAATTAAATTAAGTTTCCTTATTGCGGTAGGGAATGTCAAGCTCTCCGAAAGTATTCCTGACATGAAATTCAAAGCTCCTAATGAAAAATCATTAACCATTAGGAGGCGACTTAGTGCAATATAAACTGTAGACTTCTCTGTTTGATGGAAAAAAGTCATGACGCTCGCTTCGGCAGTTACAAACCGACAATTTTGAAGGTCCTCGGTCTAAAGCTTAGAAATTTGTACTGGCTCATAAATATTACCAATTATATTACTTTTAACCATCGAAATACCAATTTGTGTCGGGATATAACTGTGGAATGCAACAGCCAGCTCTAAGATGGATATTCTCACAAGATTTTAATAAAAAAAACCCTTAGAATGATTGTGTACCTGCCGCGTTACAACGTATCTCCATAGAGATCAAAAGATCTTAACTTAAGAAAATCAAAAAGCATGGCGTATCATACGAACTAAGATTATTAAAACATAAAAGTACACTCTTTATTGCGCGTATATCTCACACAAACATCTTTATCCTCCTTAAGAGAAAGTCAACTACAGATCTGCTGTAACTAATTACGGAAGTTTATTTATTTTAAATGATTGTGCCACTGCACTCATTCTATATACGTTCTAGTAGTTTTTTAAGATTAGATTACAAATCTTGCTGAATCTACATATAAGGGTATATACTAGAGATGCTGAACTAACAGAGCGATACCATTTCGTTTTCTTAATATGAAAACTAAACTTAACGAAATGACTTTATTTCGTTTCAGCGCCATTTTATCGAAACAAAATAAAATTGTTACTGTTAAAACCGTAAAAACTCAAATAAAATTGTGCAGTTATCTAGATTTGGCGATAGCATTTCGAAATGTTTCAACTGAATCGATTGAAACTTGTTGATTAAAAGGAAATTTATTATTATTTATAACGGCCTGGGCATATACAGATTGTAATAAATCTTCTGAAAAAAAAAAAATTTAGGAAAAGTGCGTCAATACTCAATACCAATTTATCATGGTGGCTCAACGTTTTGTACTTACTAGAAGCAGTTATTCATAACTAATACTTAAATATTGGGTGTATGCATTAAATCGTGCGCTTTTCTAAGAGAGGGCTCTACTCGTATTATTTCGCGTCATGTTCATCTGTGGCTATATTCATTTCAAAGATACTTTTATTTCGCGTCGTTTTCAGTAGATGTCATTTGTTTTAGCGTGAACAAAGATTTGTTTCATTCATTTGAAAATGTCGAAATTTGTGCCAGAGAAAATGTGTTTGCGAGGAGTTCTTCTTCATTACTTTAACATGAAGAAAAGTGCTACCAAAAGCCATCACATTTTACTGGATGTTCATGGTGACCATGCTTTAGCCGAACGAACGTGCCAAAAGTGGTTTGCACGCCTTAAACGTGGCAATTTCGACTTAAACGACGGAAAACGACCCGGACAGACAAAATAACTTCAAGACGAAGAATTGGAAACGTTGCTCGACGCAGATGCATGCCAGATGCAAGAAAAACTTGCAAAAGTATAAGGAGTTGATAAAGCAACCGTTTCCAGACGATTAAAATCATTTTTTCACAATAAAGTCTTATTTTAAAAAAAAAAAAAAAAGAACCGCACTAATTAATGCATATACCAATACTGCTGATAGGCAATCATCTTACTTCGCATTTTATTAAAATGATTTCCTTTTCCTTTGAACTTTTTCACTTCTACATCATGTTACTTACTGCTTTTGCATTCCGGTTAGCTGCTTGACAGCTCCCTCGTTCATAAGCCTGATTTGTATCTTACATAAAGCTTTCACTCGGTTTTTACTTTTCCCCATTTTTTCTCACGAATCGCTTCCGTTTTTTCCAGTATTGGTTATTCTTGTTGAGTTGTTGGTATGGTCTTTTCTGTCTCCACAGCTGTGCCCAGTGAAAACTATAAAATTTACACGTTAAGTTTTTAATTAAATATAATAGTTGCGCAAGTTACAGTGAAAAAACTATTTGTTATGTTTTAGTATAAAAGTTTCACAAAAAGCAATTTTAAGTAAAAAAATCAAAAAAAGGACACATTCAAAAGACTCACTAGCACCTTTAATTCAATTTTATGTTATGAAGTGTTATAAATTTATAGCTAACAAAGGATATCAGGCTAAACCCATGTTAAAACTATTTATGAATTTAAAAAATGATTATATTTGGCTGTTATTTTTTATTTAAATCATATATTGGTCGAAAATAGAAGCTCTGTTAAATGGGACTTAAGTTGAGAAATTGGATCACTTAACAACCGTACAAACAACTATTACAAAAATTATGATTTGAACGGGACCACAGGATATTATGGTGTGTGAAATAATCGTCCAATCACTCAAGCAATTGTTGAAATGGTAAATGAAATTTTGAGGGAATGTATCGGTTACAGATATTGTAAAGCCTGTGATTGATTATTTTGCTCGATCTACCTCCCCATATCGCTAATGTAGGTGAAATTGTATCCGAAGACCGGAATGTGTCTATGGCTATATATAGTTCTTCAGAAGTGGAACTTTATTGCGGCACAGTAGGGCGTATTTTGTACATACACCCGTATTATGCCCAGCTTACACAACAAATGAATTTAGCGAACATTCCAAATGCCGTTGATTGGGTGCTTGAACAACAAACAATGGGCCTTGGACTTTTAAAACAAAACACTTCTTCACTCGGGATACGTAAATATGCAATGTTGTCACATTTGGAGCTTTGAGATTCCTCACACAATTGAAGACGGACCATTGCACCCAAAAACAGTTTATTGTCTGGTGCGTTCCGAAGGTATGATTGTACCTTACTTCTTTAAAAATAACAATAGCGAGTCGCTACTATCAATTCGGAGCGTGGTGGCATATTAATCGACTTTTTTGGCCTGCAATTGAAGTATACCACTTGGACAATGTATGGTTTCAACAAGAGTGTGGCACATGTCATATAACCCGAGCAAATATATATTTATGGCGAGAGAAATTTTACGGATGCGTAGTCTCTAAGTTTGGCGATGTTAATTTGACACCGAGATCATACGAATTAACATCGTTGAACGCTTCTTTGTGTGGCTACGTTATAGACCGTGTTTATGCGGGGCGGATAGACCTTTACTCTTGAGCACTTGAAAACCAACTTTTATGAAGGTATGTGCCAAAAAGTCGTCGGAAGTTACCTCAATCGAAATTCCCTAAAATTCGCAAGGCTGTCATTTGAATGGTGTAGTGTTTCACATATATTGCCAAGGTTCAAACTTTATAATTGAAAAGGAATTTCTCGATAAAAAAATTATTTTGAATGCAACTGGGTCTGCAAAGACCCAACAGGTCTATATAAGGTCTAGCATCTAGTCGGCATAGCCTAACCTAAACTATAATATAAGAAAAAAAATTTGGTGTTAAAGCTTTTACCAAGGATCCAAGGCTACATCGTAATGATAAATTTCTCATTAATCAAAAAATTCCAATTGATTTGTTGAAAAATTTTAAAATTTTATCACTTAAGCAGTTCTCAAAATAAATTATATTTCGCTTCTACCCGAACAAGAAAGCTGTCGTTAAAGTTAAATCGTTAACAGATAATGTTAAACGCTAAAATTGAATTAAATTTGCCAATCGAAACAAGATCGTTTCGATCAGTTTAACATATTTTCCATATTAATAAAATGAAATGATATCATTTCGTTAGTTAACCACCCCTGTAAGAAGCAAATCATGAATTTTCTCAACCTATTGAATTATTGTTATTTTTTTAGCGAAAGGACCACCAGCGGGTGGATAATTAATAATTTAATTATAACTCATCTGCAAGATATCCTGAGAAAAACATAACATCTTTTCTGGCAATTCCAATGAAAGTGCTCCATTTCAGGAATTTCTCTCCAAGTGTAGGTCCCGCCAATCCGACAATAAAAAAACAACATCAACCAACAAGGCTTGACCATACCAATTTGGAAGCAATCGCCTATATTTTTATTAATTCAAATGCACTTTACTGCTCCATTAAAGACATATGTATGAAAATATTAACAACAACAAAAATTTGCACTAACCATTTGAGAGCTAAATAAAGTAAAATAAGCAACAATTATACAATGCCAATCTCAGGCAACAAATTTGTTTTTAACAAGTGTTACAACACTGCGCACAACTAACAAGCACATTTATGTCTGGGCAACAACAACAACAGCAACCAGACATAATTATTGTGAAAACCACAGCTGCATATCAAATGGCAAAAGCCACAACGCAATTAGACAGGATGGACGGACGTGTAGTTGCTTTTCTCACTATGCTGCCGCTGTTGTTGTTTTTAATTGCTGTTATTAAGCTTTGTTGTTGTTGTTGTCATTGCTGTTACTACAATTGATGTGTGAACGCCGTTAGTTGCGTTGAAATTAGCAATAAATGCGAAACCATTCAGCCACTTACATATATGTAGGTGCGAGTTACAACAACAAAGACGGCAAAAATATTCGCGCCGACATTAGCAACAATAACAATATCCAGCCACTAGCACATTCCATATTGCTACAACACCTACGAGTATGCAAGGCATGCGCAGAACAAAGCCACATTTCACATTAACAGAGACGGACAGACGGACGGACGGATAGATAGACTTGGAAAGACTTAGAAAGAGACAACAAAAGTAATCACAAATGAGGTTAGTAAGTGATTGACAGCATCGGCTTGACAGACAGCATTGTTGCATTGCCGCCTGACAAATCAGGCAAGCAAGCAACAAATCGAACCAGACAGACACTTTTACAGACAGTCAATAATTTTACTCAAAGAAGTGTCTACATACATATGTATGAGCATTTGCATATTGCCATTGCCATTGTAGGAAATACGAGTATATAAATATATTACAAAAAAAAGCAATGTATTTACTTATGTGTTATATCGAACAAAGTCCTTCCTTCTTCTCTGCTAACTACTTACACTTCAACCTTTTTTTTTTTGCTTACATTCCAGATGCCAATCACACCAGCAAATCGTCGAGTGTTAAGAAGAAAAAACTTGCAAATGCCGCTGCCAGTGCTTCCGCGTCCACCGCTACGCTGTTGCTGTCAACGCCCGCTAACGCGACCACGCCAGCGTCTACATCAACTTTGCCCATACCGGATGTGAGTCCTAGCGGTAGTAGTGACAGTTTAATGCGCGGCGATAAACAATTCCCTACTGTTGGTACACCGCCAGTTTCCTCATCGGTGACTGCTATGGAGACTACAGAGGATGATTCGGATTCCGGCTCGACAGATGCGCGGCGCAAAAAGAAGGCGCGTACCACCTTTACAGGTCGTCAAATATTCGAGTTGGAGAAACAATTTGAGATAAAAAAATATTTGAGTTCGAGTGAACGCACCGAGATGGCTAAGCTGTTGAATGTAACAGAGACGCAGGTGAGTGGGGTTAAAGGGAAAAGGAAAAGCCATCACTGAATGTAATTAAAACCAAAATATGTTTTCCATGGTATTTTGCACTTTTCTAGAGCAAACTTAAAAGTAAAACTATTTCTAACAACAAAAACAGATTAAAACGGAAAAATCTCAAATTCTCAATATTAAAAGCTCAAAAACACTGTTGATATTCCTGTTCCTTGACTACTTGTCATTAATACATTTTGAAGCCTTTGCCTGATCTTTCCAACAGAAAGGTGACCTTCCTCTGCTTCTGTTCCCACCATTCGGTACCGCACTCAATACTTTCAAAACTAGAGCGTTCGCCTCTATATGGTTTTACTTAGCTTCACTCACCACCAGATTCATTCGCTTGGTTTCTTTGTACCATATGGAGGAAGCTGAATTAACGGCTCGTATATACGATTGTACCTCGTCTTTTTAATTCTTAAGGAAGTAACACGATAAAGAATCGTCTTTTTTGAACCTCCTTCAGTATCAAATGGCTCGGAGAAGTTCTTGTTGTTACTTCTTAGCGTCAATTTATAAGGCCGTATAATTTTCGCGAGGATTATAAATTGAAATCAGTGGCTCTCAATCTATCAAGGCCACTTTCAATTTTTTCTGACCGATTCCAGAGTTTGACGCTTCGCGTATATCTGGTGTATAGTGGATCGGCCTGATCTAAACCAGCTCTAATAGGCTCCGAAAAGTTCAATGACGGGTCACAAGATTACTTATTTTATTCCAACTAGAGTATGATTCGATGTTGAAATATTTTGCAAGTCGCAAGTCATTGTTAGAACCTCGCACCCATCCAAAACATTTGAGACTATCGATTTGGTTCCGTGCCTTTTGATCCGGTGAAAGCCAAAGTAGTTATTGATTCTTTTATGCTGCGACCGAGTATAAACATTATTCTGGATCCCAGGAATTCGATTAATCTTGTCGTCTTGTGTGAACTAGAGGTTGCCCTCGCCAACATCCTCTGATTCATTGACTTAAAAAGTCATTAAGCACGTTTCTATACTTTATTTCTGAATTTCCGACCATAGAACACACCAAGTAGTAACTTTTTCAGGATATAATGCTGTCTTAAAAACGGCTTGTGGCATCACATCAACTGCGACAATTTCGTTTATTATCCTACCCAACTAGCAAGCGTGAGCTTCCTTGCTGCCAGCATTTTCTTGCGAAAATCGCAATCGGTGGCTTTATCGCATTGGGGCCATTCATTAAATGTGCTCGACACCGCAATTCGCAAACGTTGCTTTCGAGTAAGTCCGTCCATTATGATATTGTAAACCATACGCATGAGAAAACATTTTTTACTTGACTTGATAACAATTACAAATTCAGGGATAGGAATGACTCTTAAAATTAAAGTTTTTTCAATAAGAGGTGTTATTTTGAATCGCCTGCCATTCTCGTAGATGTAACACCTTTCGACTGTTTCCTTTGAAGCCGCGTGAAAGATAAGGTCTACGCCAATAGGCCACCGTACATACATATATGCATAGACTTTTGATATGCACGTACGAGTATGCATGTAATTTGCGCCTCTTCTCACAAGTAGTTTGATCTAGAATTTATGATAAGCCGCTTCCGAACGGATGATGGATTTTTATGATAAAACCTTTATTTCATGCCAGAAGTTATATTAATGCCAGAGTTGACATTCCTTGCCGAGAAGCACCGCTGTGAGAAAAATATTTTATATTACATTTTTAAAACAAAATGTTGCGTTACATTGAAAAAAATGTAGATAAATCGTAAATAAATAATTTTCAATACAGTAGAATATAAATTCAACTTTCTTTCATTTTCCAAAAAAACATAATTTCATGCAGGACAACGCCTGCGGCGTCAGTCAATTTTCATAACTGATTTAGATGAAATTTTATGTATGTATGTATGTCGTCAGGAGAACTTGATAATTGGCAATTAAATAAATGAAATATTATAATATGGGTATTAAAGTAAGAGATGAAAGTTTTTTAGAAATCCTTTTCGATCAGCGTTGCCAAGTATTTAAATTAAGCTCAACAAATATGGGGGCATTTTGTAAATAATTTTACAAATATCTATAGCAATAAAATTGTATAATATATTTAAAAAAAATTAAATGTTGCATAATTCTGGGGGTAATTTTAGTTTTTTTCTATATATAATTTAGATAATTTTTAAGATTTTAAAAAACATAAATTTTCTCTAACATTTCGACCATCTAAAACCAAAAGGCTTGTCCTCTACAGAAATTATTGAAATCGGAGTCAAAACGACATTTCTAGATGGGAGCCAACGTGTTAAAATGTTCTAACCAGTTAATTTTAACAAAATTATGCTACATAGATCTAATACTTTATTTCACTCAGATATGTATTTTAACATCTATTTCTTACTTTTTTCTCTTAGAAACAGCTTACTCTAATACGAAACAAATTTAAAGTCAAAAAAATGTACAGGCAAAGTTTTAAGATTCCATTTAAGGTTTTGATGCTGAATGGTCACTGTTAAGTATGTTAAAATGATAGCAGACCTCTGCCTGTTAAGATGACATTGAGAGAGAATCAGAGTTCCTTATAGAAGTAGCAGCAGAAGCTGCAAGAGTAATAAAGAGATGGAGACAAACAACCATATTTTATGGGACTGTTCTACTTTGGGCAGTGCTGGGTTTCAGAATTTGACTGAATCTGACTTACAGCTGACATGTAAGAAAATCCAATTTCACTTCAGTTAAAGCCCGATAAGCCGCTGACGTCTTCATATCAGCTGAGTATCTAATATTCGTTTTCACTGGATCTCTTTGTTCCTTATATCTTTTGTATGTAAGTACCATAAAAAGAAGAAGAGACCCACCAAAATGCTTGCGGACCGTATCTCAACAACGAGCTAAATTGATTCAGCGATTTCCATCTGTCTGCATCATAGTGATACCTTGTATTTTAATGAACAATTTCCATCGTTCCGATTTAAATATTTGGAAATGTTAACGTTAAAGAAATTATCAAAATAAATTTCTTGTTGTTTTTACCTAAAACAAAATGCTTTCATTAATGTTAAATCGTTAACAGATAATGTTAAACGTTGAAATTGAATTGTAATGTTAATATCATAGCAAACAACCATTTTGAAATTAACGTTAACGATGAGTATGTGCGATTTCTACGTAAACGATTTCATTTCGTTAATTTTACTCTTTAGCGAAATAAAATGATATCATTGCGTTTATTGGGCATCTCTTGTTTGCATACAAACTAGTATCTTAGTTTTTGAGATACTTCACTCAAACTTGGTAAACAGATGTATATTTTATACATTGCTGATCTTATGTCGGAACCGGCTGATTTGTTCATATAAGAGGTTTTTGTTCAAATATCATTCAAAAAACCATATAATACCGTGAAATTTGGAAGTTGTAAAGTCTTTGACATGGATAAAACGAACACTACTTTTTTGTTTTTTTTTTTGCTTTAATGCTGGCAACACTGCTAAAATTAAGGGGTTTAAAACTAAAAAAGAAATGTTGCAACACTTAATTCTTTCTCTTTAGTATATGCCAACCCTTTTCACAAATGTAGAAAATGTCATTATTGACATTAACATTTCTAAGTTACATTTTACTAGCCATTCAACGGAAAAAAAAAATTAACAAAAAAATAAAATTGAAGTAAAATCAATACTTTTTTCGTCCAATATGTAGAAAGAGTTTATTGTCTATACACAAGAACTTAAAATTAAATCCAATTGACCCAAGAAATATGCTTCACTAGTTAATAATCATCAAATCTACAAATTATAATTACCGAAAACATGTGCAACACGCCCCCAAAAACTACTTAGCTGGGTTGCTTGAAACTAAATTAACAGCTGTGTTGTTGTTTTTCATTTTACACATACATATGTTGGGATCTCAAAACCGAAAATTTTGTTGCAAATATTTAACTAATTAAACTAAGCAAATTTTCAATGAGCATTCATAAGTGAGCACAGCTACCGGATATACCTACATACGAAGCTAATTATAAATATTTGCATAGGTAGGTATATATATACAAATCTGTATGATACAAATATATATATGTATAACAAACAATGTCTTACCAGTTGGTCTTATCGACCTTCCTGCAAACATTATTCACACAAGCATTTAGGCAACACTTAAGTAGACAAGCGAGTACGGTTGCTCCATCCGCAGGCAAGCAACACCAGCTATAAGCAGTGAGAGAGAGGTGGAGAGAGAGAAAGAGAGTGAGAGTGAGAGTGAGAGGGAGAGAGAGAGAGGGTACTGCTGGAAGCATTTGTTTGCCGCCAACAGACTAGGGGCAAAACTGTATGGAAGATCCGTAAATATGCTTTGTTGATGTAATTAAATTGTTATTGCTGCAGCAACACGCGCAAACGTACTTACAAAACCGCTCATTCATAAGCTGGACGCATAGTTGAAATTGTTGGCAACAGTTTTGGCTCTAATATGCTGTTCAATATAATTAAGTGCAATGCCGACATTAGTCATTACAATGCTTGTATGTTTGCACCTCTGTGTGTGTGTGTTGATATTCGCAAATGCTATGCACATCCTGTGCGATAATAAACACAAACACACACACACACATATGCCCACATACGAGTGTAAGCGTAGCAATTCAATGCAATTATGCATCCTGCCAGGCCACTCAGCCACACAACCACTCAACTGTATAGGCATTCAAGCAGCAGTCAAGTAGACAAGCATTCAAGCTTGTAATAGCATTACTATTATGGGGAAATGTTATTGTGTGTGTGTTTAAATGCATCTTTATACACACGCATGATAGATTGCTTTCGGGCTTATTATATTAATAATAGACTAACACTTGTGCTTTCGTACACACACACACCCCCGCATAAACACATATGAAAATATACATACATATGTACATGCAATATACGCACACATGCAAAAAACAAACAAAAAAACAATCACTATAGAAACACCCACAAAGTATAGATTTCTAAAAGCA